CACAGAGCACTGTATGTCAGAGTGTGGCAAGGGAAACAAAGGGGAAGAAACCCCAACTCTGCTCACAGAATAGCTGGGGCTGGAAAAAACCTCTTGACATCAGTCCAACCCCCTCAGCCAAGGCAGGGTCACCTGGAGCAGGTGATAGAGGAATATATCCAGGTGGGTTTGGAATGTCTCCAGAGAGGGAGACCCCACTCCCTCCCTGGCAGCTTTTCCCTGTGCTCTGCCACCTTCACTGTAAAGAATTTCTTCCTCATGTTGAGGTGGAACTTCTTCTTGTTTAGTTCATGGCCACTGCTCCTCATCCTGTTGCTGGGCACTGCTGAAGAATTTTGGCATCATCCTCCTGAAACCCACCTTTGAGATATTCATGTAAGATTCCCTCTCAGTCTTCTCTTCAGACTAAACAGGCCCAGCTCCTATAGTCTCTCCTCTTTAGAGATGTTCCAGACCCCAAATCATCTTTGTGGCCTCTGCTGGACTCTCCAGCAGCACAAGTAAAACCTCCCCACTTGTTTCAACAGACTCAGGTTCTCGCCAAGAGAGTCTTAACCCATCTGGCTACTGTATATTGAACCTCTCCTTATATGTTCAAACAGCTCAGCATGGAGCCAGACAAGAATGGCTGGGCCATTCTTCCCCACCTCAACAAAAGCCTCTGAACACCAAATCCATATTTTCAATTAGGATTCTTTCCCATTTCCAGCTACACATCCCACAGTCAGCTGTCTTTACACACGCTATTTACATAAAATACCACTGCAATTTAACTGCAGTGCAGGTTTCCCAGTGCCTACTCACGGGCAGACCCTGCAGCCCTCAGTTTTCCCAAATTCCAGAAATCACTGCTGGTGGTGGCCATGAGAGCTGGAGTCTCTTAATGCAGCTGGAATGTGGGACAGCAGCATGGCAACCAGAGCATGGGCCAAGTGCAAGTCAGGAGCTTAGTCCCAGAATTAACATGAATGCCAGTGCTGCACACAGAACAATGGGGCGCTGGAGACATGCAGGATAACAGGACATATGGAGCAAACCCCAAAACCTGACTATTGGGATGACCTCATCTGCATCCGAGCAGGGTGTTTCAGTGGAAAACAACAAACAGGGGAAGAGCTAATTAGCAGAGCTAGGTGTAAGCCAAAAAAAAAAAGAAAAATTACAGTAAAATATTTCAATTTGAATGTTTTTCTTGATTTTTGTGAAATTTCTTTTAAATTTCACAACAGTGTAAGTACAAAGAGCCCTCAGTTCTTTCGGATTCATCCTTCACTGTAAGGAACTCCAGCTCAAGATGCTTCTCCTGCAGTGCTGGCAAAACAGGGACATCTGAGATGCAGGGGAAAGAAGAAAACAGCTGTGGCCTCCTCGTGTCACCATGAGTGCTGGCTATCAAGACAACAAAAGGAGGAAGGATCTTCTTCAAATTTGAGTGTCCTCTCCAAAATAACTGTCAGGATAGGTCAGGCAGCAAGGTCGCAGAGCTCTTGAACTTTTTTTATCATGGAAAGAGAATAAACTGAGAAAAAGGGGGAAAAATGGGGGGGGGTTGGGGAGGGGGGAAATGGGGCTGATAGTTTTGCAATTCCACAGGAGCTAAAATAAAATAAAATCGAGATTCATTTCAGCTAGAGATTATGAAAAGCAAGGCTGCAGCCCACACACAAGGAACATCACGTTTAGTGAATTAGTGAATCACGTCACGTTTAGTGCGTGGCATACATAAACCAGCCACTGGTTGATGTTCAGCAACCGAGTATGTATGAGAGCATTAACTCCTTGCTGTGGTTCCTCCTAGTGTTTCTTGGATCAAGGCACAGGAGAAAGGAGCAGTCAAGGGACAGAGCAAGCACACCAGAGGGTGCTGCAGAGCCAGCAGCCAGCAGGACGGGTGTCCCGTCAGCTTCCTAGCAGCTCACCCACGGAGCAGAGATGTAGCAGGGATCCATGGAACCAAGGAAGCGTGCACTGCCTCCTCCCCATTCCTTCTATAGGGAGAAAAAGATGCTAAAGTGTATTCCAACTGCTTGAAGAGGAAGGGAGATGACAGTCTGTCTGTCTGAATTCCAGACTACAGACACCACCCAGCATTACTCTTCCATGCAGACTCCCCCTGCTCTGGAAGGCAGAAAGCATCGCACACTAGTTCCAAAGCACGTTTTGCTGGACAGCAATCCTGAAATCTACACCTGGACACACCAAAGATGGAGCAAGGTCCAGCAGAAACCTTGTCCCATCTGCTGTTGGACAAGGAAATCTGTAGAGTCTACTTCAACACAAGCACAACCATCACCCTCAGGAGCAGGGAGGGAAGAGTAGTATTTAGGGATCCAAATCCCTCATGTCAGCTCTCCTCTTTCCTCAAATGACTGCAGGAAGCACAGGAGCTGCTCCTGCTGTGGTCTTCAAACCCAGAAGGGACCTCAGACAAGGCAGCAAGTGGCTCCCTGCCCTAAGACCCCGCTCTGTGGGAAACTACAGTGCTGGCAGCAGAGATAATTGCTGGCTCCCCTTCCCACTGGGAATACATTTCGGTGAGAAGCAGCCTAATGTACAGTTCAGATGCGTGTGAAAAGGAAGTGAGGAGCAGCAAACACCCCAGGAACAGCAGCATATCCCTCTTCCAGCACAGGTGAAGGCTGGGAGCTCAGAACCACGAGCAGCGACAGAGGATGTAACCCTGACACTGCACCTCCCACCCAGCCCAGCAGCAGACTTTCCCAGCTGAAAACCCAACAGCTCAAGGACCCTTGGAAGGCCTCTCCCAGCAACCCTCCTCTCTCCAAACAGGAAGGCAGGAGGAACTAGAGGACAGGATTTACGTGCCAGGGAGAGCTGGGAACAGCGCAAAGGAAGTTACTCACTGTGAGGTGACTATTTTGGGAGATGCTGGCCAGGTCACAGGCAGCAAAGCTTCCCAGTCAGTGTTTGAAGAGTTTATCACCCCCACATGAAGAGAGTCCCTGATGCTGCTCCTGCCTGTCCCACTAATGTCACTTTAATCACCGCCCAGGCAGCCTCCCACCCCTGCAGACTCCCCTGCATTTCCCACCAGGTTGTTGTTTTTTCCCACATACCCGAGTTCCTGCTCTACCACTGAGCTCCACAGGAACATCTCTCTTCCCTGTCTTCAACGGTTTCACAGGCAGCTCCGGGATTTAAGGAAAGACTGAGGGACTATGGTCTCCTTGGTTTGTTCACAACATTTTCCCTGATTTTTGGTACATCTCCACTCCTCCTCTTGTGTCAGCAGCATCAAGGCAGACACCAACTCCCACAGCACTTGTCCTCCCCAGAGCCAGCACCTGTTTGAAGCCAACCTGGCAAGATTTCCCCTTCTGCACATAGTGAAATACAAAGTCTCACAAAGCCTTCACCTCCAAGGTCACCGAAAGCACGAAGTGCAAGTCTCTGGCACCATTTTAAGCCCTTAATTACTTTCTTGTCCTCTCCCCCAGCTTGTCACAGCTCTGAAGTCCTCTTCCCAATGCTGTTATCACCTAGGTTCTTTCAAATAGCAATAAAGCCAAGAGCAGGATGCCAGCAGCAATCACAGCTTCAGTTCTGACCTCTTGTGCAAACTAAGGTGTCCCTGCCCTTCCCTTGAGCAGCAAGGAGGAAGAAGCTGAGCTGCCTGACAGCTGGAGAAGTGCAGGAATTGTTAACAATGATCACGTAGAAAAGGCAGCACTATGAAGATTGCAGTCTCACACCCTTCTCCAAAGCAATAAACTCACTCTCTTCCTCCAGAGGGACATCATAAGGAACTCTGAAGCACTAGGGCAATTTTTTCCCAGAAGTTTTATGGAAAGCTCAACCCACTGCAAAGAGTTTGGTATTTCTGACCCTCAGTTCATGGTGCCCACCAATTTCACCATATAAAACATCAGGAAATACCCAGCGTTAGAATTAACCACAGGAATTATATTTTTAGACAAAACAAATGAGGGATTTTTCAGCAAGAGTTCCCCAATCAACCCAACGGGTGCAGAAGAATCTTGGTGGTGGTGTTATTTAGTTTCCTGTCATAATCTGCAACACTGAAAAGAAAGGACTTTCCATGTAACAGGTAACACAGAGCAGCACCAGCCAAGATTGCCTGAAGGAACAGCATCAGACCACAGCATCCCAGAATTCTGGAAGTTGATCTTAAGAGCTCAGTATGTCTCAGTGCTTTCAAAGCAGCAAACCCTTCTCTAGCCACTGGGAAGTGAAAGTTTGTCTTGCAGCAAAAAGAGTGAGGAAGACCCTGCCTGACCTTTGGTGAAGCTGGGCCTGCTTGGAGTGAGTGGTGCCCAGATGAACCCCAGATGTTCTTTTCAGCATAAATGATTCTACAATTCATTATCTGCTTTTGTACAGGACCAGATTGGGATCCATTTCAGCACAAACACCCAGTAGAAAGGGCTCAGGGGAATTCCATCCACCAGCATGCACTTTGTGCCTAAAGGAACTCTCTTATGGAGCTGCTCCATCAAGCTCAGCCCAGCTCCTGGCATTACACACCACCTCCCTTTGCTGATCTGCTTTAAGCCTAAGTCCCTTAGTCTAAGTTTCCTTGGCACCTCTGAGGAAAAGCAACAAGGGGGTTAAGGAGAAAAGCAGCAAGAATTCAGGAAGTGAATCAAAGAAAAGGGAAATATGAATACAGAAGAGAAGGTAATTTGCAGTTAGTTGCACCAACATTTATCCAGAGTATATTAACCTATCCCCAGCACCCTGTGGGGAAAGTGGAAAACAAAACAGACTTCTTGTTGCACTGAGAAGGCCCTCTTGTCCTCACCAGCCATTCTGCCACTTGAGCTGCCAGTGAACTGTCCTGAACAGGTCCTTTATCCTCATCCTCTTCCAAAAGGTGGGACTATGGAGCTGTGTGGAGCCTACTCTTAGCTTACCATACCAGACCCCCTCTGTGCCACATCCCTAACACTGTGAGACACTTGACACCAAAGGTACAGTTCTTAAGACTCTGAAAAAAAATCAGACAGCCAGCAAAAACAGGAAGGACAAACCCAAAAAAGCAGCTTTAATTCTTTCATCACTTTTCTGACAACTTTATGGACTGATGAAACTTTTACAGAGCTGCAAGCCACTTAGAAAGTTTCCCCTAAAGAAGCTGCTGTTTGTAAAGATGCCCATGTTGCTGTTAAAGTCATCATTACTAACGAGTAGGATTTAGATCAGCTTCTGATGGAGACAATCCCTTGGTATGACAATCCACAAAGTTATCACACAAGTGAGGAATCCACTTCTGCCAGCTCTGTCCCAAAGCCCTGGTACAAGTCTCCAGCCAAGTGTTCCAGGCCCATCCAGGACAGTGACTGTTTTAATGATCCCAACCTAGAATTGCTTTGAACATGAGGCACAGGAATGAAGCCAAACACAGAAACCACAAACAGATCCAAGATTACATGGGCACTACTCCTCTTCCTGGATGGAGATATGCTTTCCCTGCTCCAGGGAAAGTGTACTCACCTGTCTGATTGACATGGTGCAGAGAATGTAAAGGAAGATGAAGGAGCAGTCAGTGTAATCCTCACCCAGGAGGTTGCGGTGGGACAGACCTTGGATGTATGAGAGGGGGATAAATGGAAGCTTTGCCACCACTCGGCCATCAAATCTGGAAAAGAGAGCACTGCATCACCACTGGAGACAGCAGAAGAGCTTTTGGATATGGAAAGAACAACTGAGCATCTTCAACAGGCCACCAGAGCAGGCAAGGCTGAAAGGTCTTGCTGCCTTCTCCAGCCCCTCTCCACACACTACACCAAGGAGGATAAAGACATCTCTCTGTCCAAGCCCTCCACAGGGTAGGATTCCCTCAGGAACAGTTTTACCACAATGAAAGTGTTTCCTAGGGATTTAAGTGATCAACTGGACAAACTGCTGGTTCATGAAATCTTGGTGTTTTGCAGTTGTCTGGTGCATTTTATTTCCAAGTCAGATTTAGCAGATCACTTCCCAGAACACAGTCAGCACTTCAATATAAGATGAATGACTATCACCCTGCTATACTGCAGTAACTGCAACAAGACAGACCCTTTGCTTCAAGCAAAACAGCATTTTTTAAACCAGAGCATAAATCAAAGACACCTTTTCCTCCTCTGCAGCAGCTGTGCTCCTCAGGTTGCACAAGAGAGCCATCAAGGAACACTTCACAGCCCCAGTTTGTCTGCATTAGCTGTGGAGATGAAGGCAGTGCAGAGGCAGGATGATACCGCATATCCCGAGCGGCATGTCCTGCTCCTGGAATCCCTCCAGGCCCACATTCCAGGGCATCAGGCAGAGTGTGAATTTTGGCCACTTAGCAAAGATTTCTCCCAAGCCAGACCAGTCAACCCAATCTTTTGATGTAGATGTGTATGATGCCTCATCAGCATGTGCATATTTGGATGTTATTTTCTCTGCATGTGCTGATTTTCGAACAGGTGTTTCTTGTTTCAAGAGATCCTAAACGAGCTTTCTTTCCTGTGGAGATGCATTCACACAGCCACGGCTCAAACACACGCCAACTTTGTTTACATCTCACAGGCAGCTTGGCAAAAGAGCTCGGAACGGATGTTTATCTCCCTGGAACATCCCCCAGTGGCTTAAAATTCTGCGTTATTCCTGCTGTGAGAATGACAAGTACTTCAGCAGTAGCACCCTGAGGTACCTGCTTTTAATTCCAGCAGGTTTTCACAGCCATTAAGAGGTACTGAAATACACAACTCTTAGAGTAAGGCAGGGGAGTGATTGCATGAAAAAGTTCCTGGCAAGAGAAAATTGAGACACACAGAAGGTAATTTCTGCCCCATGTGAAATCCCTGCTGGCTTGGAGGCCACTGCTGCTGCAGATCTCACTGCCAAAATGAACCTTTTAAGCCACTACAGTCACTCAGCTGTTTGTCTTGGGCACAGCATTCTGCTCTTTGGGTTTAAACCAGCCTTGCTGACACTTCCACATCCTTCCAGGTCCAACCTGCTGCCCCAGTACTGCTGAAACTCCAGGAATGACAGCAGGAAATCATCCTGGTGATTTCAAGTTTGGTTAAGGGGGCACTTGGCAATGGTGAGATGCACAGAGTAGCAGCATCTGCAAAGTACCTGTCCAAAGGGTGCTGCTTCCACACAATTCCTGCTCCTTTTTTCCCACAAGCTATGAACTCATTGAAGAACAGGAAAAGCAGTAAACGTGGTCACAGCCATTGCAGGTGTCAGCCACCCTTCTCCTCCCACGCCCACAAGTGCCTCCATGGATACTCCTGCTGCTCAGATTGCCTCTAAAGAAAGAGGCAGTTAAATAAAAGATATGCCCAAAGGCTGACATCAATTCTCTGCTCAGTAGCATGGTCTCTGTGGACAGGAGTCCTCAAAAGAGGAACAAGACAAACTTGGTAGAAGTTTATTGGTTTCTTCTACCTTTTTCTAATATCTATGGAAGAAATAACCATATAGAATTTAACCCAAATCAACCCCTTCCTAAAGTTTTTAACAAACTTACAGCTCTGTAGTACTTGTTAGTCACAGAATACTCAGAGCAACTGCCTCTTCCCCCTCTAGGAAAGTGGGCACACTGGGGTAAAGCATTTTTAGTTTGTTTTTCAGTCTGCTTTAGGGGCAGGTGCTGGTGTTTGTACTGTACCCAAAGAGCAAGGCAAGCACTTGGAGGTCTCAAGGGAAACCCTACAAATGCTCCCTCAGACCCCTCACTGCACCTCCAGCCCTGCTCAGGGCTGCAGTGAAATGAGACATCACTGACTCAAGATTGCACCCAAATTTTAAAATCCTCCAGTGCTGGGCTGCTTTGCTCCGCTCAGAATGCTGAAGTCTGACTAAGCTGAATAAATAAAGGATCCACACAGTGGCACTTCTGTTATTATGTTACCCCATGTTTGCAATTTATCCACCCACAGATCTCCAGTAAAATAACATTTGACTGTATCCTGGGGAATGCCAGCACAGAAGCCAAAGGCTTTGGTGCCCAAGAATATAAATTCCTGTTTGCAGGGCAAAGATATTGCCCAGATATCAAGCAGCCTCCTAAAATATTCATGTCATCTTCAGATTTAACAGCCAACAGTTCATATTTCAAGTGAATCAAGTTTTAAAAGCCAAGCACAGCCTTTCAGATTTGCATATCTGAAACAAAGCTGTCTATAACTGTGCAAACCAGTTTGGGGTTTCTTGTCTGTTTTTTTTTTTTTTAACTACACCCATCTCAGGTCACTTTTAAAACAAGTGAGATGTGGAGCCCATGCCTGGACCTGCTTATACCTGGACTCTGATTACCTCAAGTAGGGCAACAACAAACTCTGCAATTACAGCTCATTTCTAAGGGCAAGAGAGCTGACCCAGTTTTGTTTGCAAGAGCATTCTTTGCTCACACCATTACAGCAAAGCCAAAGCAGCTGAAGACTGAAGATGTTTGCCTGACATACACCAAACTTGCCTTAATCAGGATGTTCCCATGCAGAAAAGATATTAAGGCTGTGTCTAGACTGAATGCAATTTGTTCAGTTTGGCTGTGCTCAGTACTCAATGTTCCCTCTTGAGCAGAAAGTGCATGTGATGACCAAACCACCACATCTTCAGATAAAACATGGATCCATTTATTAATCTGTGTTTCTTGGCTGGACAGTGTCACTCTTGACACTTCAAGCGATGAAGGGAAGGTGGAAAATATGTTCACCATAAAAATTTCAGAAAAAAAACTGCAGGAAGCTGATACTTACATGGAGTTGAACATTCCCATCAAGGCAGTGAAGCAGAAGCCAATGGCAAACATGGATTTCATTCGAACCTGCAAGCAGAAAGGTCAGAGAGATTTCAAACAGGCCCACACCCTTAAAAAGAGCCTTTGTACAGATCACTGAAATCAACAGGGAAAAAGGAGACAGAGGGGTTGTTAAAGTGACTGCAGAAGTCTCCAAGAGACTGGGCACAAAGGCAGCCACTGATGGGAAGTGCTGCTTCAGGGAGACAAAACCAGAAAGTGCTCAAGAATTTTCCTGTCACCTTGCACAGGCTGGTTTTATTTTTTCCTTAAGCCTATAAAACCCCCCAGGGGGATTCCCAGGGGACTCCCAGCAAGGCATCATTACAATGACCAAAGTTATAGGAAGCCACAAAAATTAATTCTACATTGAAAAAGCATCATGGAGACTGATAAAGATGAAAATAGCTAAGGTTTGGCATGAGATGAGGCAGTAACTCTGTGGCTCAAACTAAAATCTCTAGTTATTAGAGAAAATCCAGAAGGACCTTTCCAGAGTAAAAGCAGCTTTGTCTGCCAATTGAACAAGTCTTTTTGTTGGAAAACTGACTGAAATCTCCAGCAGTTGGGAACTGGCTTTAAATTTTCATACCATTGACAAGTCCCTGTTGTTATTCTTCAGTTTCTCTTCTTGTCTCTCTGGAAAGACAAAACCAACAATTATAATCAGTTATGTCAACCTAGAAACCAGAGTGTTTTCATTTCCAGGAAAACTTAACCTCTTTGGCTCTCCAAACAAATAACGCTTCCAAAATCAACTCCAGCTCTTTTTGCCAGACAGTAGAAAGTGAAAAACTGTACCTAGCCAACTGCTTCTCCCTACAGCAACATGCAGCAAGTCAGGCACAAAGAGAGGAGGCGCCTGGAATCACACATTCAGCACTTTTGAAAGAAATGCACCCAAATGTCAGATTTGCTAACTCAACCAACTACACAGGAGCATGAGCACTGCTGCCAGGAAACAAAAACAGTGCCCCTCTACCACAGTTCCCAAAGGGAGCAGTGATCAATTTGCTGCACACCATCATAAATACGTTGAATAAGTAAGGATTTCCTTACTTATTTTCCAAAGGGAAAACCACGCACAGAGCTGGGAGCTGCACCTCAGCAATGCCAAAATCCTGCTGGTCTTAGTAATGAATTTTGCACTCTTCTCACACCTAGGAGATTCTCCAAAGAGGAAGAATTTCCTACCTGAAATTCAGTAATGAGTGTATTACTGTGCTTTGCAGGAAATATTATGGAAATTTAGTCTGTCCTTAAATCACCACAGATTTCAAAGATAATGAGATTTTCAAGAGGGCATTTTCCATGTCCCTCACTGGAGGGCTGCTCTGGCCTTCAGCATTATCCACTGTCACCTTTCCTGTCCCATGTCCCCATCATGTCTTGTGCTCCTCTCAGACCAAGGATCCAGAGGAGCAGCCAGGCTGGGAAGCAACAGCCAGCTGAAGTAAGGATGTGGATAATGAAGGAATATCCAAAGAACAGCGTGAGTGAAGAGGGGAGGATACAGAAGGTCTGCCAAGGGCTATCCAGCATGGCAACTTTGAGGGATCCCCACTGAAATTTCAGTGCTATTGGCCCACAGCTCAGAAACTCCAAAATTCTCTCCTAAGCCCCTGCTAAGCACAGGGGCTCACAGTCAGTGTTGTGAAAATTAACAGCAGCACCCCTACCCAACTCCTTAGAACCTTCTTTGCTATTTCCACTTGCTCCTAACCACAAACCATCCCCTTTGGCAGGAACCTTTCAGACACCTGTTTCCTGAGCAAGGTAGAAAGTTGTGTCCTGGGACATTTCAGCAACCACAAGCCAGCTCTTCAGGAATCACATTTGGCACAAATACTTGTTTTTTCCCCTCTGCTGCATAACTAACCATCTATTCAGGTGGGCTAAAGGTTACGTGGAGGAAAGAACACAGCTCTGATTGCCCAATATACCTGACCTGTCTCTCACCTATTTCTACAGATTCAAAATGAACACGTTCTGGGTGATCTACCAACTTATATAAATGATCTATTCCTCCCCAGATCACAATAAACAGCCTATTAAACACTTTGCTGAGTAGTTTACAGATAGGTAAAAGCACAGAGAAAGAGGACCAGGTTAACAAGCAACTCCCTGGAGTCCAAACTCATCTTACTCTGCTCCTTGGAACACAAACCATGAGGATTCAGGGACAGAGATTCGCCAGGACTAGGGATTTTTATTTTCTTTTAGTTTTGCTGTCCATCCAGCCCTCGTGTGGACTCCAGGGAATGTCACTGTCTTTTCTTCCAGAAGCACATGGACACTGAAAGCAGTAGCAAGGTTTAAGCTAACGAATCATCCCTTTACACTGAAATGACAGAAGGCTACACCAATGCTAAAGGTGTCCTGTTCCAACAGTGCCCAAGGTGATTCAGACACAATATGACAATTGGTTCATTTTACAGTTAAAAAGAAAGGTTTTTAAGTAGGAAACACCAAATAAAGCCTTCCCAAGCTACTTTCCCCCTACCTCCTTGTGCATGATTCATCCCTTATGAAACCAAGTAGTATCATCCACACTCCTCCTGTCATATTCTGTGTGCAGAACAGATGGCAACTGAGGCAGGTCTGTACCACAGCTGTTACTTATCCAGAAAGCCTCAGCTCAATATTTACTTTTTGTTAACTAAAATGATAGAACTTGGAAAAACTCCAGCACAAGTAGATTTGCTGTGACAACAATGCCCCATCTTGCAGAATGATTTGACATCCAGTGAGTTACAGAGATCAGAGATTTCAACTTAACAGCTGTGAATCATTTTCTGGAAGTCCAGTGTGACATTTGGGGTCTGATTTTTCAGGAACACCAAGAATTCATCTTTGCCTGAACAGAAATGAAATACCCATGTTATGCAGCACTTGTTAAAAAAAAGAAAAAAAGAAAAAAAAAAAAATCAGTGTCAGAATCTTAGGCTTGGCCAGCAAGCATCACAGCAAACAAAATCAGTAGTCGTTTCCTAAGTTCTGATCTTTGTCCCTTTGTGCTTTGTTTTCCATCTGCAAAACAAGATTATTTCAGTGTATAAAAATTGGTGGAGCATCTGAAGTCCTCAGATTCTACTGTTTATTGGTTTAGTCCAAGCACAAGTCAAATATTGCCTGCTAGGAACACAGCTTGGATGGTGCCCTGCAAAAAAGTCATTGTCACACTTTCTTTATTTAATATAATCTACTGTTGTTGCATATGGTCATTTTCAAAGTTGCCTTATCCACCAAGGAATGTTCATCCCATGCAGGGGTTAGTCAAGATTAAGAACTGAAATGCACAAGAGGAAGCATTTTGGCTCCTGTCCCTTCAGGAATCTAAGGACAACAGGTTTTCTACCTAGGAAGAGCTGTTTGAAGATGTGTTTATAATTCCCAAGCTTTGTACAGATCAAATGACTAATCCAGCTACCTGGTGTTACAGAGGAATGAGGAAACCAACTCCCAGGAGCTCTCAAAAGTGTTCCTGCCACGATCTCTGTAATAACTTAACTGAGCTCTGCTGCACGTTGCAAGTCCTGCAGACAGCAGATCCTCCTAAAACCTTTAAACATCTCTTTACCTTGGTCTTGCTTACTTCAGTACTAAAAAGTTACCCTAACCCTGAAAGAATTCAGCTTACTGACAAAGAAAAAGATTGGAAAAGTAAACCACTGCCTAAAATTGAGCTAAACTGATTTATCAAGATTGAAATTAATCTAAGCATGGTTACAGTTAACATGAACATCTTCAGCTCTAAAGTGCACAAATTAAGGGGGGAAAAAATCACAATTTGAGTTCTACAGCTACAGCAAGGTGCCATGCACTGCAACAAAGAGCTTTGACAGCTGAAGTTAGTAACAGCCATAGATATCAAGGCTAAAATGAGAGAAAAAGGCAGGGAACTCAGCAAGAGGTGCTGCTCCTCTCAGTGATCCACCCACTGGATCAAAACCATCAGGAGGCTGGGTACCCCCTGTCTTGGAAGAGTAAGGCAGATGAATACATAGCCTTGAAAGGAAGGAAAGAATAATCACTTCCATCACTCAACTTTCCACCATTCTTGAGGTGCCAGTCTTACCTATCTTCTTTTTCTGCTGTCGGCCTGCTGATTCAGTTATGGTTTCCTTCTTCTTTTCCACTGCAAAATGAAAAGTACTCCATCATTTCTGCACAGTGATACCACCACATCTTTTCCAAACACCAAGCAAAACATTTTATTTCTCTGCAGAACAAGGGCACAAAAAGCAGCTAAGTTGGACTAAGAACATGTTCAGAATCATTAAGTTATCAACTACCTACACTAAACACTTAAAAACTGTAATTTAAAAAATTCAAAACTCTGGATAAGATACAAACATATTTAAAGGATTAATTTTGAACTCTGTCAAGAGCCCATGGCACTGTGGACTGAGCAGTCTGGGGACAATTTTGGCTCAATCTCCCCTTGCTGGTTTGTCATTAGTATCAGACAGTACTTTTGATTCAGCAAGTGGAATGAAAAGAGCTTTGTGGCAAACTCTGCTCCTGATTATCTGCAGTGGGAAGCAGAATACAGGAAAGTCTGTGTTCTCCTGCATCCCTTCTTCACAGGCAGGCATTCTCAGGGGAAATGCTGTCCAAGCAGGCAGCCACAGCCTCTCCATTCTTCAATTCATTAGCACTGAAGCATTTCCAATATTTTAAAGCAAAAGCCTAAGGCCAAAGGTACTAAAACCCCACATCAGACGTGCCATGAGCACCAACCACCACTGCAGCAAAGCAGGCCAGCAGAGCCAGCACAGGCAAATGGGAACAGAGCAAATGTGCTGCTCAGCTGCAAAGGAGGTTCTGGGACAGCAAAAAGGGCTTTTCCAGGAAGCAAGAGATATTTTCATTCAAGACCTATAACAAGAGTACTCCAGGAAGCAAGGATGAGGAAGCATGACCATGGTCTAACAACCTTTTTTACTTTAAACTCTCTGTATTTATGCAAACTGCATGTACCATATCCACTCTACCAACAAAGAGCCTGGGCTCACTGTCAGCTCACAGATACCTGAGTGCTGGGGCTGCTCTCCCTCGTGGAGTACCAGCTCAGCACAGCCCTGATTTCACAGCCCAGGGGAAATGAAGCCAGCCAACCTCCTAAGCCACACCAGGATTTGTAGAGCTGCCTTACAATATGCCTGTGAGTCACCAACAACTGCTCAGAAAATCACATCAGCCCAGACATGACACCTCAACATCATCCCTCCATGGCAACCGAGTGAGAAACAATTGCTTTTCCCAAGGAACAAGAGGATCTCTGGTGGGCAGGGAGGAAAACAGGGAGCTCGTGTCCCTAGGGAATACTGGAGAGAGGTGTCAGATGACACAGTGCACCCAGGGCTCACAGAATGCTGTCTCCATAACCTTCCCAATGCCAAATCCAGCTGGGAAACCCCAGCAGCCCATCCCTGCCCTGGTGCACATAACCCCAGAGCCCCAGCTCAAAACCCTAGACAGTGCTGTTAAGACTTATGCCAAGCCCCAGGAACTCCCAGCCCCAATTCCTTCAAGAAACATCCATGTGAACAAATCAGAAATTCCTGGGGCAGCCTTCAGCCCCACATTCCCCCAGAACAACCCCTGCAGCAGCCTCAGCCAACGCTGAGCCTCTCCCGAGGAAGGAGAGGACAGGAAGAGATGAAATTAAGGAGTAACAATGTCTGCTCAAGCACACTACCCAGCCCCTTTGTTTTTGCAAATCCTAAGGATCTGCTAGGGCTCTCACGGGAGAGCTTAAAGGTCTCAAATGTGTTTTTTCCTGTTTCAGATGTGTTAGATAACAGCTGAAAGGTGTGGCTCAAGTGGTCCACTTGGCAAGTTGTAAGGCCTCAGGTCAGCCAGCTGTCTTCAGCACAAGAAAAGAAGGAAAAAAAGCAAAGCTGAATTTTTACTGACTCCTTATTCTGCTTTACCTTTTTTTATAGTTGTTGGGGGTGGAAAATCAAACAAGGAAATCAGAAACTACTCGAGACACATGAACCCTTCATCACTCCCTTCACAGATGAAAACCTAGACACCAGGAGAGCTATAAAAGCAAACAGCATTCAACTCTTTCAGCAGTCATTAAGCCCTAGAGATTAAGCCCTGCTAACTGCTTTTGGAATTGAACAGCACAAGCACAAGAGAACACTAAGTTTGCAGCTGGGTTTCAACTCCTCAAAGTTGCTCTTCTGGGACTAATTCCATCCCACACACAGGACCAGTGGGATTCAAGAGAGGCAGGCAGAGATGCAATCCCCATCTGCTCCTGCTGTGGTGACAAAAGCCCCAGAAGAAGGTGGGAGCTGTGACACAAACATGACTACACTTCAACTCCTCGGTTTAAACTGCCCAGGGGAAGGCTGCAATGAGCAATACGTGATAATATTGTTCTCTCATGCATTACAGAGCACTGCCACCATAATGAGATATTTGTAAGGTAAAACCTGCTCTGTTTTGGCCCCAGCTGTCGAGTGCTGTCTCTCACTGCTGTACCTTGGGTAAGGTGTACACAGCTGAGGTCAAAAGGTCAGAATTTCTCATCTGCAGCTTGGCTTCTGATAAAGACAGGTCCATTTAAACACTGCAGGCTCCCTCCTGTTTACCATTTCTCTCAAAATTTGATGCAGGTCTTCTGACTGCTCACCCTCAGCTCCCTTCCCTTCTCCCCTCCCAGACCTCCTCTCTGTGAAATGAACTTATTTCCTAATATTTCCTAACCTATTTGCTTCCAGTTCACATCAGGATAATTTGGTTTTCCATCAGCTGATTGCTTAGACCTTTCTATGATGGCTTTGTCTTTACTCACCCCCCACCATCAATCACCACTTTTAATCTTTACATAAAATGCTTTTTCCTCATGGTACTCATCATTCAACCCTCTTTCTTTCTCCAGACCTCAAATTCTCCTCTGCACCCCTGCAAGGCAAAAACTGCATCTTTGAACGTATTTCAGACATTTATTTCAGACAGTGGCTGCTGATGGGCAGAAAAAATAGATGCCAGCACCAATCTCTTACTCCCTGCTGTCCTCCACTGACAGGAGGGGCAATTTACACAAGGCAGAAGGTCTTTGGCCGAGCTTCTTCCAGCAGGAGACCAAAATTAAGGACAGAACTAAGCCCCTGGTGAGTACTTACATTTCTTGCTCTGCTTTTCCACTTCAGCCTTTAACCTCTTGTATTTGTCTGTCCGATAGACCAGCACCCACGTTATACCTGAAACAAACACTCAGCCAGCAAGGAGGGGAGGAGAAACCCCCTGCAGGAATGCTGCTAGCAGGGAGCAGATCCACGTGCAGGAATTAAACTTTGTGTCTGCAAAACCCCCTCGTGACCCAGGCAAGGGAGCACAAAGCACCAGCAAAGTGCACCACCCCTTCCCCTCAGATCTCCATGTAAACTGGAACAGGAAAATAAACCATGAAACGAGCTATAGGTGTAAAGCTGAAACAAGTTTTTAATTCTTATTTGTACTGATAAACCTTTTTGCAGGTGTGGGATGAAGATTTGTGGACAGGGGGTATAAGGGGGATTTAAGGATACAGCACAACACCAGAAACGGGACCTGTGGCTCGTGACTACCCCAAAAGGACCCCAAAGCATTTCCTTAAAAAGCTGCTCCTATTTCAACCGCTGAAATACAAAAACCCTTTTCCAGCAGCTTCAACCACCACCACTGCAAGGCCAAGCGATTCCTTCGCATCCTTCCCACAACAGCTACGGGGAAAACCACTCCCTCCCTCCCTCCTGCAGGGAACAACCCAGCTCCCAGCACTCCGCACCACACTCAGCGCCGGCCGGGGCCGATTCCCCGCTGTGCTCTCCGTGAGGAGCCCCAGCTGACCCCGAGCCGCGTTCCACGGCCTCCCTCGCCAACGCCGCCCCTGCCCCGCTGCCGGGAGCGCCCCGCCCGGCTCACCCTCGGCTAGTAGCGCGGTGCAGACGGAGATGAAGACGATGAGGAGAGTGTCGGCGAACATGGTGCTCATGGTGCCGCCGCCGCCCCCGGTAACACCGCCGCGCACCCGGAAGTGCGCTCGCCACCCGGAAGTGCCCGGCTGCGTTGCCTAGCAACGTGCGGAAGCAACCATCTGCACTTCCGGCCGGCGCCGCCGACCGCGCGAGACGGGCGAGGGGCGGGGAAAGCGCGGAGGGCGCTGCTGTGATTGGTCGATGCGGCTGTCAGTCAGCGCGCGGCCCCGCCCCCGGGCCGAGGGAGCCGCGGTGTCATGGCGGAGTCCGCGCTGTGCCCTGCTGCGGACCCCACTGCGGAAAATGCATGTTTATGATTGGCTTTTCGCAAATGTTACAATGACTATTATATGTGCAATGTTAATAAGTTATGCTGTATTAATTATCTTACGTATTGTGGTAAGTGTAGTTTTAGGTTACAACATAGTGTTAAAATAGAGACTATGTATGTGGGGGTTTTTTTTATGCACGAGATACTCGCTTTGAGGAACACCTAAATCTTCCAAAGGAGAGGAATTTATGGTTTTCTTATCAGAAGAAACTAATTTCTTCAGGCCTTGCTCAGACCCGAAGACACCAGGGGATTAGAGGAAACAATTGACATACAACAGAGTTTCTTGTTTAGAATAGAATGTATGCATAACCATAAAGGATATATGAATATTCAACAAGTGTATTGTTTTAAGGGTGATTCCTTTGTTCACAAGTCATGCTTTTCGTGACTTAGTGTCCAAGAGCATCCCGAGGACTGTAATTCTTTGCTTTTTATTGTCTTGTAATGGTCCTAGCTCTAAACTTTATTACTCTAATTGTATTATTATTTTTATAACCATTTTATTACTATTAAACTTCTAAAATTTTAAAAACCAAGTGATTGGCATTTTTCACACCCACCCAGCACTCCTGGAGGGCTCACACATTCCGGGAGGCTGGAAAACACCTCCGCCACCATCCCCAGTCCGACCCACCACAGCATTCCCAGTCTTTCCTTAAACATCTTCAGGGATGGGGGCTCCACGGGTACCTCCCCGTTCCAATGTCTGATCACCCTTTCTGTGAGGAAGTTGATCCTAATGTCCGAGTGTGAAAAACACCAATCGCTTGGTCTTTAAATTTTTAAAAGTTTAATAATAATAAAGTGGTTATAAAAATAATAATACAATTAGAGGAATAAAGTCTAGAGTTAGGACAATTACAAGACAGTAAAAAGCAAAGAATTATGGACATCCAGATGCTCTCGGACACTAAGTCCCGAAAAGCATGACTTGTGAACAAAGGAATCACCCTTAAACCAATACACTTGTTGCATATTCATACATCCTTCATGGTTATGCATACATTCTACTCTAAAGAAACTCTGTCTGTTGTATGTCAGCTGTTTCCTTTAATCCCCATGGCACTGAGTCTGAGCAAGGCCTGAAGACATTTGCTTCTTCTGATAAGAAAACCATAAATTCCTCTCCTTTGGAAGATTTAGGTGTTCCTCAAAGCGAGTATCTCATCCCTAAAAAAAAAACTTCCCCACATACATAGTCTCTATTTTAACATTATGCTGTAACCTAAAACTACACTTAACACAATACGTAAGAGAATTAATACAGCATAACTTTCTAACATTACACATATAATATTCATTGTAACATTTGCGAAAAGCCAATCATAAATATGCATTTTTCACACCGAGCTAAGACTCCCCTGCTGCAGTTTGACACTGGGTGGGTGTCTGCCCTCCCTGCCAGTGAAGATGCACCAAAGTGTTTGCTCTAAAAAGGTTGGTTTGGAGAAACCTTCCTGGTTTCTAGAACTCTGCCCTGGGTTAGTTTGCCAGTGGTGAATAGAAGTGTTCAAGACCAACTTACACATGTTTTGGAGCAACTGGTTTAGTGGAAGGTGTCCCTGTCCATGGCAGGGAGGTGGAATGAGATGATCTTTAATGTCCCTTTAACCCAAACCGTTCTAGGATTCTGTGAATACCCCGTTAGTGCATCTCACCAGGAGGCACTTTCTGGGATCAAATATTTAGGAATGTTGCTGCCTGCCCTTTCCCTGTTGCTGTCCCACACGCCTCTTGTACAGGCAGCAGTGGATTCTGTGATTCACAGGGAATCACATCTCCCTTGCTCGTGTGTGTAAAATATTCACAGATGGGATGGGACTACGAAGTGCATTAATGAGGACAGTGCAATAACAGCAAGGATTTGGCAGACAAATTGACTTTTACTGAGGCTCCAGCTATTACACCTAAGCAGCAGAACTAGACCAGATTCATGGGTTATAATGGGGTGAGGAGACCTAGAAAGCAGAAATCCAGAAAAGGAAACAGGACAGGCAGGGAAGGGCAGCTTTGTGCCTGTCCTTACGTAACAGAGGAATTTGCTGCTGGTGACAGGGGTGCACTGTGCGATTGCACGGGCAGAGCTGAGTGAAAAACAAGGAAAGGAAAAAAACCTACCGTCCTTAAATTAAACACACCAGTCAGAAAGAGCTGTAGCTCGGAGAAGACAGCGAATGAGGCGTGAGGTCAGACAGCAAACAACCTCCCCGAGCCTGGGGACAGGCACACAAGGAAAGCAGAGAGCCACGTGCGTGCAGGTGGCTGAGTCACACGTCACTGGGAGGTGGGAAAAGTCCCAGCACCGTGTCCAGGGAATTTCAAGGCAAAACTGAGAACTGGATGTCAGCAAAACAGGACTCAGAGCCATCAGGGAGACAGGGATGAAACTGAGGGTGGTTATTTCTGTTTGGGGTGAGCAGCAGGAAGATGTTGGCAGCTGGTGATTTGGAAGGATTTGTGATACATGGAAAAAATTCTTCCCTGTGATGGTGGGGTGGCCCTGGCACAGGGTGTCCAGAGAAGCTGTGGCTGCCCCATCCCTGGAAGTGTGCAAGGCTAGGTTGGACGGGGCTTGGAGCAACCTGGGCTAGTGGGAGGTGTCCCTGCCCATGGCAGGGGGCTTGGAACGAGATGAGCTGTAAGGCCCCTTCCAACCCAGTGCATTCTGTGCTTCTGTATTATTTTGTGCCACCTCATGCTGTGCTGTATGCCATCCTCCACCCTCTCTCCCTCTCTTTAGAGATCGCTGACTTTTCTGGCTGTGAGATGTATCAGCATCTATCAAAGCAGTGTTTTGAAATAGTTTCTCATATGCTGCTGTGGGAAATTATTCACTTATTGATACCGAATGGGGCATTTTTGGCAGATGCAGGCCAGTTGGAGATGGTCAGTGAACCATCAACCTCTTTCCTCTGCAGGGTCCGTGCTTTGAACTGGAGGTAGAGGTGACAACAGGCTCTTTGTAATTTCATCCTGTCACTTTGAATCACACAGGGATTCTTATCAGCAGATCCTTTTTACAGACAACACACGGCATATTATCCTCAATGGCATTTCCTTTTCAAAACAGCATTCTTGTGCTTTGATCAACGTGTAAAGGACAGATGAGAGCTGGGTGCAGTCTGATTTGATCTACCAGCCTGGGATATGAGAAAAAGGAAGGCATTTGCATAATACATCGCTCTGGTTTCATGAGTCAGGGGCTGGTGTAGTCCACAAACATTCTAGATATAGAAGTGGTAATATTTATGGAGGCAACCTTGAAACCAGATTAGAGAGACACATAATCCCAGTAGGTTTCACATACTGAAGTCTCCAAGCTTAAACTGAACAAAAGGTTCAGTTGCTTTGCACAGGGTGTTAGTGACCAGCTGCCAGTAAAAGGGTGCGCAAAATTCTCAGTTTTGAGGAAAGGTGCCATCTGAAACTAACTGGGACTTGCATTTGGTTCACTTCTAGTTCACAGCCCTGGCCTGGTTTTGGAAGAGCTGTTAACCTGACCTTTGCAAGTTATCCTTGAATTCTGTGTAAATAAGCCTTGGGTATCCTTAGCTCAACCCGCTCCAGGGCCCATCAAGAGACATTTACTTCTCCTTCCCCTGCAGGTGTGTCAGCTCCTGCCACATGTCCAGCAACAAGGGGACCTGGAGGTGAAATGCCATGATGGGCATCCTCCAGAGGATAGGCAGCACAGCCTGAAACAGGTGCAGCACAGCAGAGGGTTTGGAGTGTCCCCAAGCAGGGCAGCAGTGATGGCAGGAAGGAGGAGAACCCAAGAACCCAGAGTTCTCGCTGTCCTGAGGGGTTTTGCCATCCTATACAGCTGTGTCAGCATTGGAGTAAGAAAAAAGAGCTGTGAATAACTCCCGGGTCCCAGTGGGGTGCGCAGGAGCTGTGCCCATGGTCAGTGCTTGGAAACTGGCATGAGGCCATGGGACTCCACGGGAACTCATCCCTGCAGGAAGTTCTCATCCATATATAGCACTTCCTTCCCTGGCAGGGGCTGCATGCAGTGCCAATCTCCCATGGCGCTGCTGGAGAGGAATTGGGAGCAGTGGGCAGAGGGGTCAGGGCTGCCAAGGAGATCCTCTCACATCCTGTGTGACGAGGGCTGGGCCATGGCACCTGTCTGGCAAACACCCCCACACCTGCTTTGCTGTGTTGAAGTAGGAAGTTAGAAACCTAAGTGAGAGTTCTGATCCTCTCTGAACAGGGCTGGGAGGAACCTTGGGGCATTCCTTGGGCTGGCTCCTGCCCCAAAACAGGATCAGCAGTATTAAACACTTTCCATACAGATTTAAAAGTGGAGAGTCCTTGCTCTCCTTAAACAACCTTTCCTAGGATTTAACTACTTTCAACCCTAGAAAATGTTCCTGAATTGTCCTTGTTATAGTGTTGAGCTGGCAACATTTTGTTTTAGTCCTTAACAGCAGAAGAAATGTATTCCCTTTCTGTTTGTGGCAGCCTCTTCTGTATTTGGATATGGTTATCATGTCCACACAGCCTTACAGCCCAGCAGAGACTTTCCCCAGACTAAACACGGATGTGTCTTTCAGTCCTACAAAGCCAACCCTGGGATGCTCCCGAGTCCTCGCTGGAGTCTCTCCACCAGGCCTCACCTTTCTCAAAGCACGGCACCTGTGGGTGTTTGCATGCCCCAATGGGATGTTTGCCTTTTTCACAGCGGCATCACCAGCTGATTCTTTGATCCACTCTACACCAGATCTTTATCTGTAAAAGGCCTGCCTAGCCAACAG